AGACGGGAAGTGCGCCTGGCGCTTTCAAACAGCTGGTATGGTGCATGCACAATTGGCCACAAAATTCTTATCGTAGATAGCTCCAGCAAGGCATGACGCTCCCGATGATGGCGTTGCGCTCCCTTTTTTTCTGCTGGCTGATACTGTGCTGACATCTCATTCAGGACTCCAGATGATATCGTCGGGCTTGTGTCTTTTATCGCGTCCAAGGAATCGCAATTCATAACAGGTGATGATATTGTCTGTGCTTGTGCTCGCGGTTCACTGAACAATGTGTCCATTCTACGAAGGCCAAAGCGTGCGTAAGTTCGGCAACTGAGCTGTTGGTATTGATTCTTCACAGATCTCGATCAACGGTGGAATGCACTTCGCCTAGCCGCTGGTCGTTGGTTGGTTTTGATGGAACATGTCTAGTTGTACGTGTCGGAGTTCTCCAACTTTCAGCCTTGCGAGCAACCCGTGAGTATTCTGAATAACATTGCACTTGAACACACGATGTCTAATCCTTCGCCGGCTCGCCCTTCGAGCTCCCAATCCCAACCGGAGTGAATTATCGTTGCGATCAAGGTGCGATGCTGGGATGCCGTTTGGATGCCGTGCGCGAGAATTTCTCGATTTGTAGCTGTAAAAAATCACCGGGAAAGGCTCAACTCTGCAACGTGCTCTGAGATTTCTGAGCGTCTATGCCACTGACACCGGTTTTCGAACTCTGTCTGTTTGATGGGATTTAGTTACCGTTGTTTGCTCCAGGTTTGCTCATGTGTGTTGCTGTGATCGTTCTTTTTGCTTCTTACTTCCATGTCTGGCCTGCATTTCTTCGATCTCCCTACGGAACTCATCATCAAGACGTTGGCAGAACTCTCTGTCGTCGATCTGCGGAACTGCGAAGCCACCAACAACCGATTCCTCAGTGGCCTGATCCGCGACTCAGCTTCCCTTCAGTACGGGGTGGAAAAACAGCTGGCATGTGTGGAAGACACTCCTCATTCGCGACGGAACAACTCCTTGGTTGAGCGTGCCCAAAATTTACGCCTTCGCCAGCGTGCCTGGCTGGAATTTACCTATAAATACACCCGCACCATTACCGTCGACCATGCTGCTTCAGAGCTGTGCGAGCTGGTCTCAGATATTTATTTCGTGGTCAAAGGCGGAGTTCATGTGTCAGGCCTGTCTAATGCGATCAAGTACGCGCGTATACAGTCACCACAGGACTCCGAGGACATAGATTCAGAATTTGCGCATATCGAGATTGGCCGGCCTGTGGTGGATTTCGCTGCCGCGATCGAAGAGCATAATCTTATGGCAGTGGTCACATAGTGAGTTTTACTCTGTACACAGCTCATTGTACCGCTCAACTCTTCCTTGAGCACTCCGCATCGCAGTGATATACACATGCTGTCGGTGGACATTGTACTCCTGGACTTCCCGACTGGAAGACACCACCGGCTTGCTATCAAGCCGGTCATTCATGTGCACGACGTGGAAGCATTCCTAAATATTCCTCACACGACAGTCGATGTTGCTGGAGATAATCTCACTCTGGCGATTATATACGACAACGAGGCAAAGGACCTCAATCTGCTGCACATTTTTGACTGGAAATTGGGGATCCCCCGAATGGCAAGTATAATCTTCCACTACTATACATTCACATTCACGGCTTAACCAGGAGCCAGTTGCGATCTCGCATGTCGGTGCTACGTTCCTCGCCGAGGACACGATACTATTACCCAATGGCAAAGGCAACTCGCTCGATATCTATCGGGTACCACGGATTGGTCAAGCCGCAGTTATCCATTCCTTCCACCTTCCTCCCCTCTTACCATCCTACTCCGTTACTTCTGCCATCTGCAAAGGTTCCCCGGCTTGTTTGGGAGCCAACTCTCATGCAACGCCAACGAGTCCGGGGAGATACACCAGCGACTTCGAGAAATCCCTTATCGTTGTTTCCTTCGATATCACAGTGGACGATGACGATGAGGGAGAACAGTTTCTCTTCGTCTTCCTTCGCAACGAATTCATGGATGTGCTCGAGGACAGGACGAACAGGGGGCACTCTTTCACCGAGTGGTCCTTGTGGGGGCCTTCCCACACGCGATGGCTCAACATGTACCGGATTGGCACCGGCAATTTCTACAGCATGTCGTATGGGCGGCGATTTGTTTGGATCTCCGACGACGGGGACGACTTGCAGCCCATCCGCATATTAGATTTTAATCCTGACGCTGTCAATCTCGTTGCGGGAATCGAGGGTCAGACCCCGACGGCCGCTATCCATGTTGTCCCTCGTCATGAGGTGAGCTTCACCCGATACCATGCATTTCAGAGCCCTGTGGAATCTACGCTTCCCTACGTCGAAACCATCTCGATGGAGGATTTTACGTACCATTGCGTTGCCATAAATGAGGATAACATTCTGGGATTTAAAGTGCGTGTACTGCCGACAACCGCAACACTGACCTTAATTCTTTCTTGTAGTTTGACGAGTCGAATAATTTTGCAGTCCAGTCTATCGACGTTCTACAATTTGGGCCAGTTTGAGCCCACGTCAAGCCCCTGGGTTGATTCAGAGGCGACAGATCCAACGCCCCGGCATTTGAACAGGGTTAACATGGCCTGGATGAACATTCGGAACGGGAACGCTGTGGATTCGAGTCTGCGGTGGATCCAAGGTGGATCTCCGGGCTCCCAAAGAGAAAATCATTCACTTCGCCCTCACTCCTCACGTACGCATAACAAAGACAACTCCGCATCCGTTCTTGTTGAACTTCGAGACATGCGCACCACTTAATACTAAGTACACTTTCGCAGTGGTTCCATGAAACGTGGCGGCATTCACTGATCCGGAGACTTGCTGTGCCCAACATGCCGAGAGAGCTTATTTCAATTTTCAATCTGCGAGCACTCCGAGTTGTTCCTGATCCGGCGCAGGGCTCTAGAAGCTTTGGCCTGGAACTGGGCTGGCACCACTTTGGCACCACTGGACTCGAGGTCGAGCAACTCTGGCCACGAGTCTAGCTAGATTGCACCCAGCCCCGGACGAATGATCTCAACAGCGCCCATCTACAGTCAACATCGGATAACAGGCCTGGAAGTAGAGCAAAATGGGTTTAGCGGAGCGCATTTCATTATCCGTGTCAAGCGCCCGTGCCGTGCCCCGCTGCCGCGCATCTCGTGCCAAAGTCTGGAATGGTGTAGGTTTTGGATCATTTAATTCTGGGCCATCGGGCAAAATATATAGGCCTTGCCATTTAGATATGTACAGCCAACGCACACGCAGCACCCACATAGTAGATCATGGCCTCTCTCATGCGCTCTGCAATCGCACCGAGAGTATCCAACGTCCTTCGCCAACCACTTGATATCGCTCAGGGATCGAGACGGATGGCACATGCCCACGCGGTTGAGTACCACGTACGAATTTCGGCCACTCATCTCTCCTCCGAGCTGCCCAATGACTGAACCGTGCATTAGAATATACCTTTCGACTATTCTAACCGGAGACGATTCGCTGCGAAATGCGTCGCGTACATGGGCTTCGGGTTCGCGCTTCCATTCGTCGCGGTCGGATGGCAATGGTACGTTTACCAAATTCCCCCCCATTCCTCATGAGAGCCCCAGCTAATTACAATGCCAGGTACAAGCCTGGAGGATACAAGAACCCTTCATAAATATCCCTGGCCATCTGAGTCCTGAATATCGAATACGGACCCTGTATATATATACCGTGTAGCTCTATCAAATAATTCTCGGCGCAGGAAGTTTTAATGAGCCATATCTGAGAGCGGGATTCGACTCCCTGCGGGCGCGATTGAACTCCACCAGGGCGGGTTTTCAATCTGGCGCAAGGTGTCAAGCCTGGGCTGGGAAATAAGTCCACAAAGGGTGTTTTGAACGGATCCTGGGAGTTGCAAACTAAAAAGAAAGTTCCGTTTTAAACCGGAGCATATCGTGTTCTAAACGTTGCATAAATCAAAACGGAACAAAAAAACTTTAGTGCTCGGAACTTTTTTTTTCTCAAGTCTCAAGTTCTTTCTGGACTGCATCCCTGCACACTTTATGACCTCTTTACATCAGTTTTGAAAGGAATAGGGCAAACAGATCACAAACGGTGCTTCAACTGGTGCCATCACAGACTTTGATCGTTCCGGGACTTTCCGGTGGCCGCGAATCTTTCGAACCTGCCAGAGCTGAGCACGGCGTGTATCCCAGTTCATACCAAGGAGCATGCAGTCCAGCCCAAACTGGCCATGATGGTACTTTGCACCAAATATTTTGTTATCGCAGTCGGGGTTTTTTTATTTTCTCGCTCTTCAGCCCCAGCTTTGATGGCATCAAAATCTCACCAGGTCGAATTTTTGCGAACTGCGCAATGAAGAATGAGAATGCCCATTCGAAGTTGAAGCACAGAACATCTTGGCACAGGGTGCAAGAGATTGTGCCGGCCGGAAATCTCCGAAAGCCATCAAATTCACCGAGTCGTGTTGTCTTGATGCTGCAGTGTGATTTCGGTGCCTCTGCCTTCGAAAATAGGTCCACATATGGCATATACCGTACCAGGATGCAGCGCAGAGAGAATCCAAGCCGTGGTAAAAAAAAAAGTTTTGCGCAACAAAAGTTTTTTTGTTCCGTTTTGATTTATGCAACGATTAGAACACGATAGGAGCATGCGTCGAAGAATTGTACAATAAATATGCCCGCCAGATAGGAGCTGGAAGCATCGGTGGGGTATCGGAAGCCCGCAGCCGGCATCTTCGTGAATGCGTCATAACTTTGAGTGGTCGAGAGCGGGGTTCGACTCCCCGTCGGTGCATGATTGAATTCAATCGGTACGTTGTTTTGTCTTGCGCAAGAAGTCATCCGTGGAGATAATCCGCTCACGAACGATCGTTCGAACGAATCCTGGGAAGTTGAAAACTAGAAAGAAAGTTCCGTTTGGGACCTAAGCGCGTGGGTTGAAGAACTCTAGGATAAGCACGCCCGCCGGATGGAGGCTGGAGGCATCGGTGGGGCATCGGAAACCCACAACCATTACGTGCGAGGTTTTCGACCAAGTTGAGGGTTGAAAGCGGGGTTCGACTCCCCGTCGGTGCATTGCGCTGAAGGACCCGAGCAGTTTTTTTGCTCCCCGGTGAGCTGTTTTCCAGCCCTCAATGAGCGCGTCAAGCCGCCGTTGAACCAGCATGAGAGAGACCAGTACAGCAGTTGATGAATTGGCGCTGGCTGCCTTGTGTTTATCCGGGAGACGTTTGATTTCCCAGCCCGGAAGGAGTTTCAGCCACAATACTCAACCGCCAAGAAAACGAGGTCACGGCCGTTGACTCTCTTTTCCTGTAATTATGAGTCAAGGTTGTAAGGTTCAAGCCACTGTTGAGTCACTGTCACCAGGCGGACGTCGGCCCCAAAAGACTGAAAGGGATAACGATTCGTGTTTATCGCGACGACGAACAGCTTAATCTGTTGCGACCTGCATAGGATCCTGAAAGGGCAGAATGGGTCGAGCAGAGTCATCCAAGCTGTTGATTGCTCCAGTCAGCAGCGCGCCATCCCCGTGAAAACTGCCATCCGAGCTGCGCATCACCAGGCCAACAGGCGGGTTGTAGACCCGTAAGCCGATAAAAAAGGCCAGAGGTGGCGTTGCCCCAGATATAAAGCGCGCTTGAAGGTCCAGGAGTGTGAGCACACAGAAGTCCCAAAGCCGGCGAAGAAAACACAGGGAACTCATAAAATCGTCGTCGTGGTTGGGGAGAGAAAAGCCCCGCATCACACGCCAACAAATTCACACGCGTGCTTAGGGCCATATTTGGCCCTATTGTTATCCGGCGCCTTTGTACTCATCAGCCCACCACACGCACGCTCTTGCCCTTTGGTACACCTTGTTTTGCTTCTCAACCCCGCCTTTGTCTGTGGGCGGAAACCGGGGAAGAAAGGGCCTTTGTGGGACTATATAAGGCGGCGGACTTGGATTAGGAGTGCTCACTTCGACCTCGACCTCGGCGGACGACGACAACGACTACGGACCCGTTTACACGCCGGCGCTACTGAGGGCATACATATCTCGCTAGGGAATCGCTATCTCTGGGTCGGACTCGGACGGATCCCTTTTTGGCAGACGCGCAGTACGACCGGCTCGCACTGTGACTTTCCCCTCTGCGTAACGAAGACAGGAAGCAGAAAACACTCAAACTCATACAACGGGGTCCTTCCTCTCGCGCGCACTTGAAAGGATGGGTTCTGCTGTGGTAGATTCGAAAAAAGGTGTGTTTATTGCTCCGCTTTCTTTTTTATTTTCCATTTTATTTTGGATTGCATACTCGGAAGGCGAGGGGAAGGACGAGGAGGAGCCTGTCGGGGCGGTCTTGGACGCGGTGATAGTCCCTCGGGGCTTCGCTCCAGGTTACCAGTGGCGCGAGGCGGGAATGTGCGGTGGCAGCGACACTTGCCGCCGTCTATATCTGCCGACGCTTGCCACCCTCCCATTTGTGTTATTACCCCTCGTGCGGAATAGCCGTGACCGCCGTTTCCCTTTCTGACTTTTATCTTTTGGGGTACGGCCATCGGTCCCCGTTTTATCTCTTGCGTACATGTGGCGCGCCCGGCCTGATGCCGTGACGGAGCTGGATTGTGGTCCCAGACCGCGGGCAGGCGCATAAGGATTCGCGCGCTCGAGCGGCGTCTTTCCCTTGATATCTATTATGGGATGCGGGACGCGCCTTCTTTCCCTTCTGGCATGACGACCTGACGAGTTGACGCGCTCTTGGCTCATTGACCATCGCACCTCCGCCGGCTCCCTCGCGCGTCCCTTTTCGTTATCCTTTGCGTTTTCGTGGGGGAGATCAGGATCATGATCCCCATCCCATCTTTTCATCGCATCTTAATTTCGTGGGGGCGAAGACGGGGGCTGTGGCGACGGACGCGGATCCTGTCCTTGGGTGGCAGATAGCCGCCGCGCACGTCCAAGTGCAGTGAAGGATGATAAAGGATGGCTGATGACGGATTGCGGATGGCGGGTGTACGACGGATTTGACGGACGAAAGATGAAGGCTGATGTCAATGACGGACGCCGGCCTCTTCATTCCGCCCGTCCGCTGCGCTGCGACGCCGGCGATTCCCCGCAGGGCTTTGTTACGGTTGCCGTGTGCGCGGGACCGTACTAGGCTTTTTGTCCCGTTGCGCAGCCCTCTTTGGTCTTTGGTCTTTGCTCGCACTCCACTCCTACCCGGGGCCGCTGCTTTACTTTTGTCTCGTCGCTCTAATTACTCCCAAAATACTCGTCGCTTACGCAACGCTTTCTTCCCCAGCGCCCGCGTCATCCACCACTTCCACGCCCACGACGTCCACAAACTCCACTACCCCCACCACGACCGCCTCCACCTCCGTACCCGCAACGTCTAACGCGAACGCGAACTCATCCTCCGTCTCCACCGCGGATTCCGCCTCCCCCACCTCCGCCCCTTCCTCAACCCTCTCCACCCCCGGCTACTCCACCCATCACCCGCACCACACCCCCGCGCATCTCTCCCTCTCGCTCGACACGCCCCCGACCGCGTCGCCGTTCCCCTCGCCGTCGTCGAGTTTCTTGCCCCCGCCGATTCCGGGGGCGCACGAGTTTGCGATGAAGGATGTGCCGGTGGGGCGGAAGGGTGCTGGGGGTGGTCAAAATGGAGGAGGAGGGGCGAGTAAGGATGTAGAAGGGGCCAAGGATGCGGGCGTGGGCGCGAGTGGGGTGAATGGCGTGGACCTCCCGCGGGTATTCGCGCCGACGGCGACGTCGACGCCTATCTCGAGCTTGACGTCGAATGCCGCAGCGCCCACCGTGACTATTGGGACGGCGACGGCGACGTCCCCGCTAACGCCTTCTCCGGCTACGCCCACGCCCGCCAATACCGCTTCCAATGCCAACGCCCCCCTATCCGCCGCTGCGACTTCAATGTCCGCGTCCGCATTAACCCCGACCACCACCCCCAGCCCAAGCGCACCGACCACCCCCTCCGCGAAGCGCGTCTCCTTCCCGCCCTCCGCCACGGCCGCCTTCTGCTTCAAATCACACTCCAACTCGAACTCGCCGGCGTCGACGCCCACGTCGCTCGTTTTCAGCCTCGACGAGGAGGGTGGGCTCCCCCGCACGCCGACGCCGAGCAGCTCCCGTCCTGCGCCGCCGTCGCCTGCGCTTTCGCGCCGTACGTCGCTCGCGCGCAGTGAGAGTCGGCGCCATTCCGGGCACAGTGGCAGCGGCGGTGGGAGTGGCGGGGGCCCATCGGCCTTTTGCCCAGGCAGCTCTCCTGAGAATCGGCGCGACTCCGCGCACACGCATTCACCGTCGCGCGGGAGCGGGAGCGGGAGCAAGCGCACGTCGCGCGTGCTGGCGGGGGCGCGGCACCGGCTCAGTCGGAGTATCAGCGCCGCGGATGTCGAGGGCGAGGCCGACGGCGAGTTCGTGGACGCCTCCGAGTCTGTATCTGTGCCGGCGTCTGCGTCCAGCGCTACCATCACCGACAGCAAGAAGGCGCCGATCACGATCCGCGACTTTGCATACCCGCGCGAGGACGAGCGGCACGCGGGGCTGGGCCCCGACGTGCCTGCGGCGTGCGATCCCGCGCGGCTCGCAAGGAGGCTGCGTGGGGTGGCGAGGTTGTCGGATTATGCGTCGGGGGCGGGGCAGGAGGAGGAGATGGACGAGGACTGGGGCGGGGCGTTTGTGTGGGGGCGCGGGCGGATGGCGTTTGGTGGCGGGGGCGGGTCGTCCTCTGCCTCTGCCCGCGAGGGCGACGGGGACGGGGTGGGCGCGGCGGATTTTGCGCGCAATTTTGGGGATGGGGGGTATGAGGAGGGTGAGGGGTACGAGGAGGGTGAGGACGAGCTGTACTATGCGGAGACGTATGCGGATGTGCCGCCAGGGCTGTATAGGGCGCAGTTCCTGTTCGAGGCGATCGACGGGGCGGAGATGGATCTGGAGGAGGGGCAGCTGATACATGTGCTCGGGAGCGGGGCGACGGCGACGCCCGAGGGCGGGGACGGGGACGACGAGGGCGGAGGGGCGGGCGCGGGGTGGGCGGTTGCGCGCGAGCGGGACCCGCCGCTTGTGCTCAAGGAGGCGGGGGTGCTGGAGGTGAACGCGATGGTGGGGGCGCGGACGGATGCGGGGAAGGTGTGGGCGGAGATGTGGGCGCAGGCGCAGGCGAATCCCTCGACCACCACCACGACAGCAGCGGCAGCACCCCCACCACCGACGGAGAGGCGCGCACTGGTTCCCGACAGCTACATTGTGCTTGTGCGCGGGGAGGGCGAGCGCGAGGCGGACGCGCATGCGCGGCTGCTGCGGTATCTCGACTGGGTGGAGCGCGAGCGGATAAGGCAGGAGGAGGAAGCGGCACAGCTTGCGGCACAAGAAGGCACCGGCCAGGACTCGCCTCACTCGAGCGAGGAGGGCGACTACGAAGACGCGCAGCCGGGCGACGAAGGCGGACGGCTCGTGCACACATAACCTTTTGGCTCACTTACCCTTGGACCCACACTCATCCATTGACTCTCCGTTTCACTCACCACCACATATTTCTTCCTCCTCATACATACTCTTTCATCCCATACGTATTTCTTCCTCTCTCTCTCTTCTTATTCTCTCAGACTTCTCGTTCTCACTTTCTTGTTTTTGGCATCATCTCAGTAATTATTCTATTCTATTTCGCATCTGCAGCAACAGTAAAGTAACGCGTACCCGTACCATCACCTCCGTGTCTGTGTCTGTTTTTGTATCTGCCTCGCGTCACATATCTATATACTGTGTTTTTCTCTGCCTCTATATTGTCTGATTGGCCTCTGTCATGGTTTCCGTGAAGATTCAATCGTTCCCAAGCGCCGCTCTTTTCGTTGGAAATAAGCTTGTAGGCTGACGGGGCCAAGACAGGACTGCGAATTTTGCGAAAACTGGCGTGATATTGTGGTCTATTTGTGCCGCGCTGGACGCGTCGATGCCAGATCAGGTGACCGACCGACCATTCTCTTTTCTCCCGACCATGCCAGGATTCTTGGATGTACCGCGAGAGCTGGTAGACGCTGTCGTCGAAGCGTCAGATATATCGGACGCTTCCAACGTG